GTCATCAGTTACCACAAACCTCAAGGCTTAAAACAACACAAATTTATGCTTTTACATTCTGGAAGCTACTAGTCTGAAATCAGTCTCTCAGGGCTAAAATTATTGACAGGGATGCTGTTCCTTTTAGGTTCCGGGGAGTTGTTGGTGTTTTGTTTTGTTTTCTTTTGCCTTTTTGTATTTGGAGAGGCTGCGTGCATTCTTTGGTTCATAGTCCCACAGGACTTGGACCTCTATGATCCATTCTCACATCGTCTTCTCTAGCTTTCCTACCTTTAGCCCTCACTTCCTCCTATACCCAGGTAACCCAGAATAATCTTCATATGTAAGGATCCTTAATTTGATCATGCCTGCAAATATTAATTTTCCACCTAAGGTAACATCACTACAAGTCCTTGTTGTTGTTCAACACTGTCCAATCAGTTCCAACTCACAGTGACCCTGTGTAAAGGATTCTGGGCTTTCTATCTTTGTGGAAGCAGAAAGCCTCATTTTCCTCCTGGGGAGCAGCTGGTGGGCTTGAACCATGGACTTTGTGGTTCACAGTTCAGTGATTATCCTACAGTGCCACCATGCTCCCAACACCTTTGGGTGGCAGGTCATTCTTGTAATGATTACATCTACCAACTCCAAATATATGAGGGGCTTCAAAGAGTTCATGGAAAAGTAGAATGAAAAGATCATGGAATTTCCCATGAACTGTTTGAAATGCCTTATATTTTCACCTAATTGGAAAGATAGATTAAAAATCTCTTTTTTTTTTCTTTCGGATTACTGAATTAATGCAGGCTTACTATAGAGAATACCCAGAAACCTGAGAGTAGACAGAAAATTATATTACTGTAATGTCAATCTCTATTCTATGCACATCACGGGCACTTTACCCCACAAATTGGGATCATTAAGTAAATCATTTTAGATCCTACATTTCATATTATACATATTATGAACAAATCCTCATGCCATCAATTACTGAAATGTCCATTTTCTTGAAAGAACTAAAAGGTGACAAAGGATGCCTGAAGTAATTTTGGGTAAAAATTGTGGAATCAGCATGGGTTTTAGACTTCATGCTAACATAGTCTTTCTTCTTTCAGATCAGTACCGAGTCCATCTATGTACTATGCCACATCTCCTCCATGAAAGCAAAATGCACTTTGTCCTTGGCCTACCTGCAGCAGAGAACGCTGCAAGGCAAATGCATATAGGAGTGACTGCCCCCAAATCATCAAGTGTGGTTATTCCTATTTCACTAAGGAGTAATCTTATCACTCTATATTTCCATTTTCTAATTGCTAAGCTTACCTATCGAATCAGCACATTAGAAATAACACAAAAACATATCATGTACACCCATTCTGGCAGGAGCAAAGAGACAAGGAAAAGTCAAAATGAATGTGAATTTGTACCAATGACTGACAGGTCTAGATCTTTAAAATAGTTGGTCGGACTTGAACTGGATGTAACACACCAATGATATCATAATCCAAATTTTCATATATAGAAATTATTAATGATTTGAGGTTGTGAAAAAGTGTCTTGGATGCATCAGTTACCTCCTTCATGCTTTTTTTCACACACACATATATCGCTGTTTTTAAGTGCCATCGAGTTGGTTCTAACTCACAGCGACCCTGTACATGGTTTCCAAAAAGCAGCTGGTAGGTTTGAACCACCAACCTGTGGTTCATAGTCCAATGTTGATCATACAGCACCACACAAGGAGTTCATATATTTAATTCTGTGAATACATACACCATAATGGAGATTTAATTTGTTGTAGGACAGGGTAAAGGATTGGTTAAAAGCTAGAATTCTTATCTCCATATGAAACCCAACCTTAAAGAGTATTGTTTAAGAAATAGAATTATTTTGCATTTTATCTATAAGAGTCCTATATGTCACATACATAGCACTGGGTGAAAAAAAAAATATATCCTCCTACAAACAAGAAAAAAGGACAAAAAGAAGATTGGGGGAAACTAACATGCAAAATAAGTAACTGAAAAAAATCTCACTACTTAGTAACAATGAATGTTTCCTGTCATGTCCAAGACACTGTGTTCGGGCCATGATCTAATCATGATTCTTTTTTGTTGTTCTTGTGCTGTGGTTGAATTTTGGCCTTGGTCCATGCCAACAAGGTTCTTAACCCATCATGCGAGCCCAATGCCAAGTAAAGTACATGAAAATGAATGCAGTAACACAAGTCAGGGGCTAGGACAGAGATGTGTCATGGATTTGTGCAGCAGGTACATTTAAACATATGCAGGAAAATTGTTCATGGATAAAAATGTGACCAAGAACACGTTAAGTAAGTAGGCTTTGATGATACCCAGTTGACCTCAGACAAACATCTGGCATTTTCCCCAAATTCTACAAAATCTTTCAGTCTTGCAGGCTGGTTTTCAAACATTTTCAAGTTGTATACACAGTTCTTTACAGTAAAACTAAATTCAGGGTAATAGTGAAAGGCCCACCTCCGAAACTGAGCCTCCAGCTCATTAAACACCACTGTTAAAAATATTAAAAACATGATTTAGTTTGTATCAAGTTCAAACATTGTTTCATTTCAAATGAAAAACCAAACCCATAGCTGTAGCCTCAATGCTGACTTACAGAAACCCTATAGGACAGAGTGGAGTCCTGGAGCTGCTCTGTAGGATAAATATGGGGCCGCTAACTGCAAGGTCTGTGGGTCAAATCCACCAGCTATTCTTGGAAACCCTATACAGGGCTGCTATGAGTCGGAACCAACTCAATGTCACATAAAAACAACAGTAAGACAGAGTAGAATGGCCCCATATAGAGTTTCCAAGGCTGTCATGTTTATGGAAGCAGACTGCCACATCCTTCTCCCCCAGTTAGCAGCCAAGCAAGCACTTAACCAACACGCCACCAGGGCTCCTATGGTTGCATCACCAGTTTATCCTCTTACCAGCTATTTTTCATTTTCCACCTTTTACAAATGCAAAGGGAACCATCTGACCACTCTTGGCTCTTCAAACAGCTGGCAACACAAATTGTGCCAGGTATAAACATTTACATTTTCAAAAGTAAATGTTTCCAACAGTCCAAACTCCAAAGCATTTAAAAATTGATTTGGATCAGGTACAATATACTGAACTGGGAAAAAAAAACAAAACAAAAAAAACACTTGTTCAAAGAAAACAAAGAACCTACCAGCATGTAAATGACTTTTAACACTAAGCCGTCTCCAGTTTTAGAAAGATGCTGTCTTGGAGTTAATGTTTTAGTTTTATTTTTTTCCTTTCACATCAACATGTTCCTCTAAGTTTCTGACGAAAAATGAAAATTAAATATCCATGAGGTGTGTTCTCTTGCCACTTTTTGGATTGAGCTACTAAGATACCCTTTACTTAAAAAACCCTATAAAAATGGGCTGTACTACAGCCTAATGAGCTGGCCCTGATGTCTCCTCCCTTCCCTTCCTATTAACCCCCATCTTGGCTATCTGTGTTTTAGTCTTGCTGGAAAGCATCCTTTAGGAACTTTCCAGAGTTTAGGGACCAAGCTCTATGTACTTTGGGCTCTCTTTCACTATTTTTTTTCTTTGCCTTAGAATACAATTGCTCTTTACATGATCCTCTCCCAGAAAAAAAAAAAAAAAGAATGGTTAAATTTTTAACCCCAAGAGCAAATTTCCCTTCTAAAACACTGACCATGAGCTCATGCATGCTCCTTGGCTTTAAATGAATGATGTTCCTGCTAAAATAGAGGTATCTGTACAATCCATGTCAAGGACCTTTTATGATTGATAAAAATAAAACTGCATATGGAACAATCATTAAAATAGACTTTCTAAAGAATCAGACCAATAAATGAAATGACCTACATCGGACCTTTCTATAAAAATGGTTCCCAAGTCATATTCAAAGCAGCAGAGAAATACTTTGTAGCTAAATAATCCCAATCACTGGCAACATCTTTTACAATTCCCCTCATGACCTAAGTCAAAGTCACTAACAACTCTTTGATAAGTCATTAGGTTGTTTTTCTTTTCTTTTGCCAGTTATGTGATAGGAAAAATTCCAATACAGCAGAAGGTAGGGGGGATACATTATAAACTCAGTGGCAAGAATGGTGCATAGGCTATATGAGGCAAAGTGTGCAGAGCCCCAAAGAGTCCAAACATCGGTGAATCAGCCACCAACAGTAGCAAAAGTTGTCTGTAATTTTAACCTCAATTTCTTGCACACAAATGACTTTCCATTCCTCTTGAGTTCACAACAGCTAAATTACCTTCAAATACAATTTTCCAACTTTTTTTTTTTTAACCTTCAACAATCTACTCAACAGTAAAAAGAAACCAAATAGGAATGAGCCCACAAGAGAAATGCTGTTTCTCTTAGAGAAAACCCTTTGTACATGATGCCCTTCCATACTCGAAGGAAGAACTCATCATCTGGAGGTGGAGAGCAGGAGGGACAGAGAGGTGAGATGCACAAAGCAGAACTCAGCATTTCTGTGTAGGAGCAACCATTCTTACCCAGCAAGACACCCCTAGGAAAATTAATTATTGATTTTCTTATAAATCATCTAAAGTGATTTTTGTTTGTTTGTTTTTCCTCCCAGGATGATAAACGTCTCATTTCACTTCTGTTAAAATTCTTTTCCTCACTTTGTTGAGGTTAAAAGAAATCTCAGGGAAGAGACATCTGAGAATACTGACTTTTCGCAGCATGCTCTCTACACAGGGGAAAAGGCAGTTCTGCTTTCTGACCTTCATGGGGTACCAAGGGATGGGACTCCCAGCAACCTCCTGGGGGTGCAGAGTAATTAGAAACATGAGGGTTTGACTGGCTTGGGAGAAAAAGCACAATGTAGACGTAATTATTTTTGTTGACAGCAATCCTGAGGACTGTGATATTCCTCGGTGGAAATACAAAGACATCACAGAGATTGAAGACTGGAGAATTAGTCTTCAAAGTCAGCATCTCCCTCCTCCTCAACTTCACTATGGAAATCCCACAGATGCTTACCTTCCTGCCCCCGGTGTTGATGCGAAGGGGCGTCAGAAAGGGGTCGAAGATCATGTGGCTGGTCTCTATGTTGACTGGTGACTGTCGTTTCCCCACAGAGCAAAGATTCCAAGCTGAGTTCACCAATCCCCAGAAAGAAGGAACTAGAAATTAAAAAAAAAAAGAAATTGTAGCATTAGGCTAGGAGGAAGGTTGAGGAACTATGGTACCTAACAGGTAAAAATCAAGGCTTTGCAAAAAAGAGAGAGAGAGAGAAAATGGATTACACCCTAGAGATCCCTGGGGTTTGCTATGGGATTTTCCTGGCCAGAATCGCCTTGATTTCTCTGCATGTTATGTCTTCAGGTCAGCTTTTCTTGTTCTAGGTCTATCTGTCCTGTGTAGTTAGCATTAATGCTTAAAGAATGAGAAGGCAAAATAGTGGAACTACCTCGTCTTTACAACATATATGAGCCACAGCAGATATTTAGCAATTCTTGGACTAATGCTCTGCTTTATTTGGCTGATTGCTGTGAGAGTCCACCCTACTCTATCTAGATGGTATTCCAAGCTTTTCAAAGAGCATGGTGCTTGACTTCTGTGAGGTGTTGGTGTGCAGAGTAGTCAAAGCAAGAGAGTGAATTATTTGTATGGTCCACCATTAAGGCCTGACAGGTGTTTGGCAACTTGGCTTTGTCCTTGTTTAGTCCAACACAGATCATTAACCTAATGGACCAGCAGCTGAAGAATGTGTTCACTGGATGGGCAGAAAGAATGACATTCAGGGCTGAGCGCAACTATCCAGGGGAGAACCCTCTAGTTGCTTTCAGCATCAAATTAAAGCAATTATTTGAATACATATCTATTCAATTTTTTATTTCTATTTTCTTCTTTTACAAAAGTGAGCAGAGTGAAAGGGAGTCAGCACACGAATTTAATGCCAGTGAAGATCAGAGATTAGATCTTCACCTTTTTCCTGCTTCTCTCAGTATTCCCAAGGAGGTACTGGACTTACCTTTCTTCCATATTCATTCACTCATTCTGAGATACCTAAGCATTCATTCACCCTTTTATCCATGATATGTATCCCAGGGTTAGGTCCTGAAGGTACAAGGATGAATTGTGAAGAAACACAACATTACCACATTGGTTTTGGTGTGGTTGTATACCACTAAGTTGGTTTTAACTCACAGGGACCCTGTAACAGGATTTCTGAGGCTGTTACAAGGAAGACCAAGGAGCTCTGGTAGTGTAATGCTTATGAATAGGGTTGTGAACTGCAAGGTCAGAAGTTCGAAACGACCAGTTGTTCTGTGGGAGAAAGATGAGGCTTTCTGCTCCCGTAAAGATTTACAGCCTTGGTAACCTTATGAGTCAGAATCGACTCCATGGCACATAACAACAACAATAAGAAAGACCAGAGAAGAATTGATGCTTTTGAGTTACGGTGTTGGAGGAGAATACTGAAAGTGCCGTGGGCTGCCAAAAGAACCAAGAGATCCATTTTGGAAGAAGTGCAGCTAGAGTGCTCCTTGGAGGCCAAGATTGTCAAACTTCGTCTCTTATACTTCGGACATATTGTCAGCAGGGACCAGTCACTGCAGAGGGTATCGTGTTTGGTAAGGTGGAGGGTCAGAGAAAAAGAGGAAGATCCGCAGCAAGATGGATTAGCCAAGTGGCAGTATAGATGGACTCAAGCGTGGCAACAGTAGTGAGGCTGGCCCAGGATCGGGCAGTGTTTCGTTCTGCTGTGCATAAGGTCGCTATAGGTAGGTACCGACTCGATGGCACCTAACAACAACAACAACAAGATATTTACAGGAGCAGAAAGCCACAGAGTACTGGTAGGTTCAGATTACTGACCTTGTGGTTAGCAGCGCAGCTCATAATCCTACCAAGGCTCCTTATTAACATACTAGTAACAGACTAAGTCAAATGTGTTATGGGACTACAGATAAGGGACCCTCAATCCTGAGGGAAGGCAAATGGGAGTTACAGGGGGATTCCTAGAGAAGATGAGCCTAATGAGCCACACCTTTATTAATATACCTGTCCTCTCAGGAACTCAATGCAATATAACAGTTTTTAATTTATAGCAGTCTTCATCTGCTCATAGCATGGCTTGAGAAAACCGAATCAAGCGAGGAATCCAGAAAATACTTGTCAGAGATACTATATGAGAGACCCAGTAGAGACTTCCAGCAAGATGGCGGACTAGGCTGACACACTACACAGACCCTCTACAACAAAGAGGTGGGAGGCCAAATGAAAACAGACACAAAAGATGGTCCTGGAACCCTGAGCTTCAGAGGAAAGGTTAGAGAAGTGGACTGAATATCTCCTGGAAGGAGAAGCTGAGAAGGGCTGGTGAAAGGAGAGTAACTGGTGAATGGACTGTGAGCCAGACGAAGTGCACCCGTCTTGAACCTGTGTGAATAGCTTTGGAGAGACAGACAGATGGCAGATTCACACAGGTAATGGAAAAGGTGGGATTTTTTTCTTGTTCCCCACACTCTCCTGTATAACAAAGGACAAACCCCACCCTCATCTATTCCCAGTGCAAACCCTGCTCTCCAGGAGTTCTGAGTTGCTTGGTTAGAGTCAGTTTGAGATGGGTGCCCACTTAGGCATCTGGATTCACATGGACATCAGACTAGCAGGAACCTTCTAACTGCCAGTGAAACTAGTAATCTGAAGGGCCTCCATGAGCTACTGCTGGATTGGGTGTGCTGATCATAGACAACACCTCGGCCTATAGGAACTCAATCTAGGCCTGAGAACTCAGTCCTCCATCCACCTCTGAGTTCCTTGACTGGCAGGAGCCCCAGAGTTTTCTCTTCTCTGGGTTCAATAACCGCACTTCTGTTGTTGTTGTTGTTGTTGTTGTTGTTGTTGTTGTTGGGCTTATTTTTCCCTTCACTGTTCTGTTGTTTTTGCTTGCTTAATCTTTCTTCTCCTTTTTCCTTTCTTTCCCATTCCTTAATTTTTATTCTTTCTATCTCAGCTTTTATTTTTCTTTTCTTCTGTTTGTCATTCCCACTCTCTTCTTTTTCCCTCTTGATTTTTCTTTAATATTCTCTCATCTCTTTTTCCTTCTCTCCTTTCTTTTATTTTTTAGTTTTTTCCCCTTCCTTTTATTTTATTCCGTTTTCCTTAAGTACCAACCTCTATTTTTCTGTTCCTCTTTTCTTTTTAGTTATTCGATTCTTTTTTGTTGTTGTTGCTGTCCTTTTTGCTTTTTTATTTTTCTTCTTTTATTATATTCTCCCTTTGCTGTTGTTTACTTGTTTGTTTTATTTTCCTGTGTGTGTTTCCTACTCTTGCCCTACCAAATGCAAGACAGCAACCATATCCATACAAGTCAGCTACACCATACCCTCTGCAGCTCCACCAACTGGACAGTTGTCAATACCAGATCCTATAGCACCTGGTCAACAACAGACATCAATTAACATCAGCCAAACTCATCTTAAACTAAAGCTGCATGAATGGTGAATGGAAAACAGTACATACATTTCCATTCTCTAATTACACCCACAAGGAGACCGTTTGAGAGAGAATAAGAACACATCAACATACAATCATCGTTTAAATATAAATACAGGACTTCTAGCAAGATGGCGGACTAGGCAGATGTACTACACGGACCCTCTACAACAATGATACAACAGATGAAATAAAACAGAAACAGATAAAAGTCTTGGAACCTTCACTTCAGAAGAAAGGTTACAGAAGTGGATGGAGTGCTTGCTGGGAGGACAGCTGAATGGGGATGATGAGAGAGGGAGACTGACTAGTAAAGGGATGCAGCGTGACCAGCTTAAACCTTCACAAAGGCTGCTCATAAGCAGCTCTGGCAACTGAAGGAGGCCTGTCAGAGCAGATCCACACAGGCAATTCCTTTCCCCACCCCAACCCATGATCCTCTGGTGACCAGAGCTATGGCCACATCCCACCCTCATCTACTCCCAGCACAATTCCTGCTCTCTGGGAGTTCTGAGTCACATGATTGGGAACCATGCCATTGTGAGGCGGGGGCCTGCTGTGCTACTTTAATGTATCATTTTGGTGCCTGGATTCAGGTGGGCTTGGCTTAGGACCTACAGAATCTATAGAGTAACCAGACCAGCATTTAACCAGTCACCCTATCTCCAATTGCCCTGTGGTCCTAGCTGGCACTGAGGTAGCTCCACAAAAGCCTCTATGAACTATTTCTGGATTCTGAACATAGATTAACACTGAAGCCAAAAGGAATTAAATCAGGGCTTGTAACTCTGCTATCATATCCTTCCCATACCCATCTTGTGAGATCTTTGGCTTGCAGGAGCCCCACCCAGAGTTTTCTCCACTCTGGGTCTAACAGCTGCACTGTTTTTTGTTTTGCTTTGCTTTGGGGTTCCCCCCTTACTTCTTGTTTCATTTTTTGTTTGTTTATTCTTTCTATCTCTTCTCTTTCCATTCCCTTGAATTTTATCCTATCTCTGCTTTTGTTTTTCCTTCTTTCCTTCTGTCTCTCATTTCCCCTCTCCCCACTGTCCCCTGAGCTTTCTTTACTACTCTCTACTCACTCTTTATCTTCTCTCTATATAGCTTGTCTGAGGGTTAGTGTCATTTTTATTCTTCTTTTTATTTTCTCTTCTATAGCTCCATTTTCCCGTTCTTTTTTTCTTTTTAATTAATATATTCTTTTTCTCCAGTCCATGCATGTTTTTAATGATCTTTTCTCCTGTATTATTTTCTCTTTTCATTGTTGCTTACTTATTTATTCTGGTTTGCTCCTTGGTGTGTGTGGCAGTGTGGCGGTGGGGGGAGGGATGTCTCTTTCCCACCAAACAGGAGACAATAGCCATGCCCAAATAGCCCAGCCATAACTGTATCCTCTGGAGCTCCATCTACTGGTAACAGTCAGTACTATTTTCTAAACATCATCAATGATAGATAGCAGTCAACACCAGTCAATGCCACCTAAACTGAGGTGTACGAATGGTGCATCAACATTACACACACTTCCATTCTCTAACTACACCCAAAGGAGACAGTTGGTGAGAGTCTAACAACACATCAACATATCATCATCAATTAAATACAAATATGAAAACACCACAGCATCCCAGAGACAATAGATAGTTTTATCTCATAAAAAGAAACAAGAGAGAATGACAAA